TATTGATAAGTTATTCACTAATAAGTTGGATTGTTTTATTAATTAGGTGATAAATGATTTCATATTTTTCTCTATGAAATGAATAACTTGTCATTGTTACCCACTAATTCTGAAATCTGAAATTTGAAGTAGGGAAATCTTAATCCATTAAGAAATTGAATTATTAAATACTAAATCTCATACAATTCATTATGTAAATCTAAATATATTTTTTAGTGTAAGTGGGGGTTTCGAACTCGAGACTTCTCACTTACATTCCCCCCTCCCCCGGCGTAAATATGAACACTGAATATAGTATGCCTGTTGGATAATGATAGACAATTGAACATTGACTTTTATATATTTAATAAATTTTTCTTTATGTTAAATTTTTTATTAGTGATGTTATTAAAATGTTATATTTTATTAGTTACATATCTGATTTAATTTCATTGAAAATAAGATGTTAGAAAATAATGAACCAGAAAATAAAAATAAAAATACATTATAACAGATTTGTTAGAGAAAAAACAAATTTGTTTGAGGAGAAACAAATTTGAGGACAATCTTCAACAGTTTCTTTTGCTTCTTCATTAACATCTATAGATGCAGTAAAATAAATTATTTTGGCATAATTGCATTAAGTGATAGTGAATAGTTTATCACTTAGTTTTTGTAGTGTGTTTTGCTTAGCCAATTCCGAACCACTTAATTAATTAAAAAGTTATATTTTTATTATCAAACACATTTGAATATATTAATTCTGAATCTATTAAAAGTACAAAATTATTTTGGCACAATTATAAATCTTGCATTTGCATTAAATGATAAATAAACAGTTTATCACTTATTTTTTGTAATATGTTTTGTTTAGGCAATTCAAAACCACTTAATTATTTAAAAATGTTCCTTTTTTATTATCAAACACATTTGGACATTTTAACTCTAAACCTATTAAATTTAAGGGTTGAATTAAGTTATCCAATAGGGTCTAAGTATCTTTTTTTTTTCGCGCTACTAGTAATCTACAATTTTTTTTCTTTTCTTCTTCTTTTTTTTTTTTTTTTTATAAGTGGAATGTCTTGAACACATGACCTTCTACGTATAATTCCTCTCACCTTGCCACCCAACCCAACCATTTCCCAAAGTAATATGCGATTTGGTTACTAGTAATCAAGTAATAAGATATTTTGCATTTTTGTTAACAAGCCACAAGCAAGTTGAATTGAACTTATTACTTGTCCAGTAGGCTGATTTAAAAAAAAAATAATTTATACTACTGCAGCAGCTTTGCGCAATACATAATTTGACTAAATCGCGGCATGTTTCTTTGCTATCGGGCCAACGTTATGCCATTGTTACTTCTGTCCGCCAAGTGTAAATGGTGTAGAATTCTTGTATAAAAAAACTTACATTGACGGTATACATATACACTGTCATATTTAAATATATGTTACATGATGAAAACTTAAGATTCAAATATCGCTAGTATATGCACTGTGAATGAATAATTTTAGATCATACTGTTCTTTTATTGTTTTATTCTTAGTGGTTATTTTTAACTAGTTGCTAGGCTCTAGTACATAATGACCAATATGTATATGTGTCTAAAATTTCGGCTTACATTGAATATCTTTCTTCTTTTCCAACAATCACTTTTTAGGTTTTTTTCTCCTTTCATATAGGATCGGATTTTACCTTTTGTACATATTGTTCTCATCCTTTTTTTAATTCTTTTTAATATCATAATCTCATAATGTAATTAAGCCATGAATATATGAATGAACTAGACTTTTTTGTTTTACATATCATTTTCTCTCTATTTGGCATTAAACAAGTGACTAGGGATTAGTATAAATGACCAACATGTGTTCATCTCAAAGCTGCATTTACATTGAATATCTGCTTAATGTCTTTCTTCTTTTCCAGTAATCACTTTCTAGATTTTTTTCCTTCATCTAGGATATGATTTTAGCTTTTGTACCCATTGTTTTTATTATTATTTTTATTCTTTTTAATGTCATAACCTCATAACGTAATTAAGCCACCAACATATGAATAAATTAGACTTTTTTGTTTTTACATATCTTTTTATTTTTATTTGCATTGTTGACAATATAAGACTTGACGGGGCTCGAACTAATTTGAGACCACAATTACTTTATACCTAATACCTAGAATACTTTATCTTGTTCTCTTTATTTTGCAACTACAGGGTGTTTCTTTTTTCTGAGGTCCAATTATCTACTTACTGTTTTAACAACATTTAAAGGGGAGGGGGGAAAGGAATGGATTGTGTGGTATGGGGAAGGGAGTATAAGTGGAAGGACGGCTTAGATGGTATGAAAGATAATTTTGAAATTTCTTATATATTTCAGATCTATTCATAATTTTTTAATTTATTGTATCTGATGAATTGTACACGTTTAACGTACCATTTTATAATTTCTAGTACACTTTAACCTGCCATTAGAACTATTATTAACTCATAACACTTGTATGCAATTAAATGTATGGATAATTTCAGAAACCTCCCCTGAGGTTTCCGACTATTGCAGGAAGCTCCCTTTTAGTTTAAAAAATTACACCTACCTCCCCTATGATTAGCATTTCAATAACAATATAGACCCAATATGCTAATTTTGTCCTAAAAAATCCTAAAATACCCCTTTGTTACTTAGAAGGAGGAAAAATTCACTAATAAATTTCTTTCACATTGTAACTACTGTAAACGATATAATCACCATCCTAAAAAACTTAATAAACCACTTCATCTTAATTCCCATATTCTCACAATTTTGATAGCCTAACATTGTCACCCCAAAGCTTCCCGTGCAAATTAATTGTGACAATTAAAGTTTGCATTCAACCTAATCTTTAGTCTCTTTTTTTTTTTTGCTTAAATTCAATGTTTGAATTAACCAATGTCACTATCCAAATTCAATCCAAATGGATGCAACCTTGTTGATGCTAAAATAATCGAACCTGTCAAGAATACCAACACGGAGCAACCAAAAGCAACACTAGAGACCACATCCCACGTCTCTATGCAAATCTGATTGTAATTTTTAAATTCCAAAATTCTTTTTTACACAATTGGCATAATACCGTAATCTTCCTCAATCATGTTCCCTTTTTAGCTATCACTTTTATTTTCTTTTATATACTCGATATCACTGCCATCTTTTTCACCTTCATTTAGTTTGATAACAAATATGGTCCGACAACTTGTCAATTCAATAAGGGATAATTTCAGAAACCTCCCCTGAGATTCTGACATTTGCACTGACCTCCCCTATAGTTTGAAAAATTACACTAACCTCCCCTGAGGTTACTAATCCTTTGCAAATTCAGTCCAAATGATTAAAATATTGTTTTAGAGAATAAAATTAGAATTTTGTACCAGATTTGCCCTTTGTGCTGCATGTCCAATTAATGACAAAGTACTTCAAATCAATTAACAATTAATAAACTTTAAAGAGTGTAGTTTATAAACAAATACACATTACCTATTTAAAGTACAGGTTCTTTATGGGCATTTTACTTTCAAACATTTAATTTAATACAAATGTTTACGCTCAAATACAGATTTGTATTTACTCTCAAATATTTAATTTTTGTTAAATATAAAACCTACTAATCTCTCTTACGTAAAAATATTAATATAACACTTTTTCAACTTTAGTTACAGACATTTATGTATTTAACATAAATTAAATGATTCAAAATAAAATGCCCATAAAGAGCCAATACTTTACTCATGTAATGGATAAAAGCCATAAAGAATTAATACTTTATGGAACATTTCCTTTTTTTTAATATTTAATTTATATCAAATAGATAGCCTACCGATTTTCTTTTTACAAGAATATTACTGTAACACTTTTTGAATTTTACTTCCAAATATTGATATATTTATCATAAATTAAATGTTTGAAAGTAAAATACCCGTAAAGAGCCGGTACTTTAAATAGGTAATGCGTATTTGCCTATAAACTACGCTCTTTAAAGTTTATTAATTGTTAATTGATTTGTAGTATTTTGTCATTCATTGGACATGTAGCACAAATGGCAAATCTGGTATAAAATTCTAATTTCACTCCCTAAAACAATATTTTAATTGTTTGGACTAAATTTGCAAAGGATTAGTAACCTCAGGGGAGGTCAGTGTTATTTTTCAAACCACAGGGGAGGTCAGTGCAAATGTCAGAAACCTCAGGGGAGGTTTCTGCAATTATCCCATTCAATAATACTTATAAAAAAGGAAGACAAAAAAAGAGAGAGGATCTATTTGCAGAAAAATAGTGGATTATGAGATGTAGAAGAAAGAAGGTAGGAGAGAGAGTCGGAGAGATTGAATAAGAGTTTATTTTATGTGGCAACCGTTATTTTAGAATGAAAGACTAGTTGTAATTGCAGGATTTTTTTTTGTTTGTAGGAATTATTTATAAGTGAAGAATATTATAGTCATTTTACTACATGAAGGGAGGTTAGTGTAATTATTCAAACTTGAAGGGATGTGAGTGAAATTGTCAAAAACCTCAGGGAGGTTTCTGAAGTTATCCCTTAAATGTAAGGCAAAGAAAACAACTGAAACCTACCCGATCTCCACGTTGATGCCGAGTAAGTTACTTGCACCAAGTTTCCTCATCCTTCAAATATTGAAACCCTTATTCCCTCCAACAAATTTGTTCTTCTATGTTTTTCTTTTCAAATATTGAAACCCTTTATCCCTCCAACAAATTTGTTCTTCTATATTTTTTTATTATTTATTATCGCTTTCTTTTAAAATATGCTCATACATCGGATAATGCCATTCCCACCAGTACTTTTATTTGTTCCTATCTCATGCATGCGCACCTAGAATGAAGAATCTCTAACAAATCCGAGGGAAACAGGACCACCCTAGTGGTGGGGTTATGGCATGCGGCAGCTGGAAGAACCTTTACACGTTTTTCTTTGAGTTTGGTTAGGTTGCGAATTTTTTATATTTATATCAAGAAAAGCTATAGCCAGTGGCCGCTAAAACTTGGACTTTCTTCTCCACTGCTGATTTGTGAAAGTGGAGACCAATAATGCGCATTGTCACTGTTATTGCATCACAACTTTGTGCAAAAAAATGTGTTAGTGAGAGCTGAAGAAATCTTGGAGAAGGAAGAGATGACCAGCGAAAGGCCCGATTATGATTCTGTAGAGCATCTTTGGGAGTTGCATGCTAGGATTTTAGCAAGATATGGAGGTGAAGATGCGGATACAGCTGATCTGCACCAGAAAGTGAACTCTTTTTCATCCAAGTTCAAATTTCTGTCGATGTTTCTTGGTTATACTCAAAGGTGGAGTGATGCCCATGAAGTTGTGCCCAACTTGGATTCCCTGCTGATCAAAATTGCAATTGCGGCTCAGGCATTCAGGGAAGAACTTCTTAATATTACTTGTGTTTACCAACCAACTCACTTCTTCCTTGCTACATTTACTGGTCTAAATGAAAAGATTGAACTGTTGAAGCCAGAAATCAGTGAAGCTTACCTCCAACATTTGTCCAGCCACAACTTTCACCCTCTCCCACCCAGTGCTCAAACCTCTGACTGGCATCCATTTTTGGTATTGGTGATGAAGAATCTGTCGTTTATCCGGAAGGAGTATAACTTGGTTGGTCCCCTTTGGAAACGTATGAAAGCTTTCAATAAGAACCTGAAATCCTTCCTACGCTTTATAATAAATACTGATTTCCCTCATTGTGAAGTGGTTATCCAAGCGGCACATGTTTGCTGTTGGTTTTTTTATACAGGAATGGATCAAAACGGTATGGCTATGTTGCTTGCCGATCTGCAGCACAAGATTGATCTTGCTTCTCCAGAATTCTTCGAAAGGATTCTGGAATTTCTGCAACACCATCAGAAGTATAATGTTGACTTTGTCCGGGAAATGCTACATGTTTCCGGGACATCTGGGCTTGAAAATAGGTTGGTATCCTTGTTAACCTGTGCCCTAAAATCGATGGAGACAAAGAAGCTGGATTTGCATTGGTTTTCTAAGCATATTAAACCCCTGTTTGTGGAAGCCAGATCTCTCGGAGATACAACTTTGGAAGCATGTAAAACTGGCCATGTCGTTTTATTTGCAAGGATTTGGTTTCTCGAGGCTGAGATTTTCCTCAAGGAACAACAGCCTGGTGGCAGCAGCACCCTCCTCTCACTCTCAATCAAGGATCAAGTCAAATTCCTATATGATGAGTCGAATTTTCTGAGAGAATCTCTCACTCCACAGGAGAAGTTGGAAAATCAGATGTTGGAGCTTATTGAACAAATACCTAAGCAGGTGGATTATCTTTACGAATCTTCTCAATCTCATGCCAAGGGATTCATACCAAGCAAGATAAGGGATGTACTTTATAAGTTTCTTGTCCAGATGATGCTTTTCAGCACAAAGGAACTTTTGTCGAACTTAATCAAAAGTCATGAAAGTTTCACGTTCCTTATGAAGCGGCAAATTGGAACTCTCCATGAGGAACTCACAATGGTGATCGAAATTGTCTTCAATCAATTTAAAGAAATCACAGAGGATGAGAGACTCACCTTGACATGTATTGAAGAATTGGCTTCTGGAGTCACATCTCTTTGTAATTCTTTTCCAGCTGATGAAATCACTGAAGAAGCTATGAATAAAATGGGTCTTTGGCTATTTGATTTGCTCGAAAGGGTTCAGACTTTGCAGGCAAAGCTTAAAGAGCTTTATCTTCAAGTTCCAATGTTAAATTTCCCCAAGACCCCTGCACTAGGCTTCATTGAGTTTCTACAGCAAAAATTAAAACAGTTGCTGAAGTGGAATCCTGATTCAGTCGCACATTTGACCAATCGTATTGAAACCATTTCTGAGGATTTTGAGTTCTTGATATCTCATTTAATAGATTTCAAAGAGAAGGGCGTAGAGAATCACGGACGAAAGGAACTTTGTACCCGTCTTATTCATGTGGCGCATGAGGCAGAATATGCCATTGATTCGTTGGTGGTCAAAAGTGGTGATGAATGGAACCAATTTCTGTGGCTTTATCACATCTCAGAAGAGATCAGACTCATTAAGATGCAGGTCAGACCATTTCAAGGCAAGGCCATTGCTGTGGGAGTCCAGAATGCTGTCCAGACTACAAGGCATGAGATTCCACGGACTAGAGCCACTGGAACTAGTGAAGATGTGTTGATTCTCAATGATCAGCAGAAAGAAATAGTTAATCTACTTAAAAGAGAATCAACGCATAGAGATGTTATCTCCATTGTTGGAATGCCTGGAATCGGTAAAACAACTTTGGCTAACCAAGTGTATAATGACCCCGAAATTGTTGGTTCCTTCCATATTCGTGCATGGTGTTATGTTTCACAAGTATACACCAAAAGAGACTTGTTACTTGAAATTTTGAGCCATAATCAGCCCAATGATAAGATCCATGCAATGGAAGATGAAGATTTGGAATTGCTGTTGTATCAAAGCTTGAGAAGAAATCGGTACCTTATCTTTTTGGATGACGTGTGGGATATTGGGGTTTGGGATAACTTACAGTGCTCTTTCCCAAATGACCAAAATGGAAGTAAAATTTTGATAACCAGCCGGCTTTCTGATGTGGTTTCTAAAGTTACACCGGAAAGTGATCTTGTTAAACTTCGTCCACTCTCCGATGATGAAAGTTGGGAGTTACTAAGGATGAAGATATTTCCTGAAAAACGCTGCCCTGAGAAATTACGGGAAGTTGGAAGGGAAATTGCTGAAAAATGTCAAGGACTGCCTCTTTCAGTCGTTGCAATTGCAAGTCTCCTTAAAGGGAGAAAAATGAAACCAGAATCATGGAAACAAATTGTACGAAGTTTAAATCCACGCATCATCGATGATCCTCAGACACGATGCATGGAAATCTTTGAACTGAGTTACAAGAATTTGCCAGATTATCTCAAAGCATGCTTTCTTTACCTTGCAGTATTTCAAGAAGATAAGGAGATTCCAGTTCAAAAATTGACATGGCTATGGATGGCTGAAGGCTTTATCCAGGAGAAAAATTCAAAGAGCTTGGAGGATCTTGCGGAGGATTACTTGATAGATCTGATTGGAAGAAGCTTAATAACAGTTGCCAAAAGGAGGTCGGATGGCGGAGTCAAATCCTGCCGACTTCATCACTTGGTACGTGCTCTGTGCTTGCTAAAAGCCAAAAAAGAAAACTTTTTGGAGTTCATAACTAGTGATGACAAACCTTATGCTTCTTTTGATGATGATCTGGATTTGGAAGAATTTGAACCTTCGTACCCCATGAATTATGATGGATATCGACTAAGCATTTCTACGAGGCGAAATCACTTTGTTATGTCGACGCCTTCTGGCTCCTATGTTCGTACTCTACTGTTCTTTGCCACCGGTGATACATATCCAAGATGCCCTTATGATATCTCATTCATTTCTAGGAATTTTAAGCTTCTTAAGGTTTTGGATTTGGAATGCATCAATATGGGCAATTTGTTTGCAGCGGGGATTGATTTACTTCTTCATTTGATTTATTTAGCTGTGGGTGGGGACATAGACTGTATTCCATCATCATTAGCCAACTTAAGGAATCTTGAAAGTTTCCTTGTCAAGGGATTGAAAGGCAAAGTTATATTACCAGATGCAATTTGGCACATGGCAAGATTGAGACATGTTCGTGTAAAAGATCGTCTTAGCTTCAACTTGAAAGATCTTCAGGTTGGAATTTCTACCCAATTAAATAACTTGGTCTCTCTCTCCTCGGTATCTCTTTCTCCTGGGGAACATGCTGAAGAAATAATAAGGAGGTTGCCAAATGTTCGAAAGTTGAGTTGCATCATTTTAAGATCAAGAAATTATTCCGTGGAGTGCATTGAATTTCCAAGATTCGAACGTTTGACCGAGTTGATGGCACTTAAGATATCGTACCGCGGTAAGGGTCTTAATGTGAGTGCATTTGACTTCCCCAAGAGTCTTAAGAAGTTGTCTCTGTCAAATTTCTTCTTGCGAGGGTATCATATTTCGAAAATTGGGAGTCTATCAAATCTTGAGGTTCTCAAACTCCGTTCCATAGTTTTTAAGCATACAAATTGGCGTCTGATTAAAGGCAAGTTTCGCCAGCTCAAATGCTTGAAACTAGAGAGTGTAAACATTGTGAAATGGAAAGCCAACAGTGAACGCTTGCCTAGTCTTCAGCACCTGGTCTTGCGAAGATGCGAGAATCTCAAGAAGGTTCCCGTTGATTTTGTGAAAATTGAGACATTGCAGATAATCGAAGTGCAGGGATGCAGAGAGTCTGTTGAGATATCACTTAGGAGACTTAAGGAGGAGGAGCTACATCAATATGGAACTGACATTCTGAAGGTGCTCATCAATCATTAAGTGGGGATTTCAATCTCTGTCCCAGAGATTCCATTAACAAGTAAGCAAATCGTTATATACTTCATCATGTTTTTGTAATTTCCCTTCCTGGAATGCATTGAATGATCTTTTTATCCTTGAGAAACATACTATATTCACTCAAATTTGATACTTTCTATCTTAATATCACTTGATATGTGCCACTTTTTGGGATTTAAACACGTGCAGGGGTACTTTCAAAGCACATTTTTCTAGCTTGATATCTTGGTTGCTACTGCTGTTCCTCATTTTCTGTAACAGTCTCTTTTGTAATGACACCGTTATATTGTTAGTCGCCAACAGATTGCAATATAGTTGGGGCTTGTTGTTAGTAGTTGTCCGATTGTTTCAGTGGAGGTTTGTAGATAAACAACAAACTCCTGATTAGATTTATAGAAGTCTGGCGAAGTCAGACATAATATTGCAAGGACTTGATAGAACTATAATGATCTGCAAAAAAAGTTTTATTTTAAGGGGCAGAATAGAGGGGATAAAAATAGTGGGAGGTACTTTCTGCTGCTTCACGAAAACACGCGTATTTTGCTTGATCTTCTTTGTCAGCCTCCTTCCAGTAACAGATGGAAAACAGTAACTGGAGTCCATATATGAATGTTCTAAAAACAGACAAAAAAAAAAAAGATGAAGAGGAAATGCCACGAGACTGGCTCCTCAAATACTCTCATCATGAAAGCATCAATGTCCCTGAAGAATCTGGTGATTTCCTTTTTACAGGGGCAAGTTTATATATCAATCAGGAAATCATTTAGAGCAATGATTTTTTACCTCTACGGTTTATAAGCATAGCAATGTCACGCTCTAGCTAGCTATATTCAAGTTTGCTGTTTCAATTGCAATGAAAATATTCAGATGCCATTATATCCTATTATTCCTACTTCTATCAAATAGATTAGCATGATAGTCTGACTTTTCAATTCTGGCTCCAAAAGCACTTCTATTTGTGTCTAGTCACAAACCATTTCCGAGCCACTTGAGAATTTGATAGCTGCATGAAATAGTGGTATAAGGAACCGGTTGTTACAACATATGACTTGGGTTTTAATGCTCAAATTAGTCAGAGTCAACAGTTGGTTAATTGTTTCTTTGATCCCTCTCTGCTTATGTACATCTGTAAAAGTATTGTTCAATGTCAAATTTATGCAGTTTCCTAGATTGTATGGACCACTTGACAGAATTTTTGGTCGATTTAAGAATGTTCTTCTTTGATATCATAAATGATGATCAATGTTTGTTTTAATTGAAGGTGAAGAAAAACTTGCAGAGTCTCAGAAGATCATGGAAATGAATGGGCAGAACTTGCATCAGGCAGTTCTGGTGTAGTTGATTCTCTTGCACTTGGATGAAAATTTCTCCCATGTTTGGATATTCTGCATTTCACTTTCCCTTCTAGCTTGAAACATATCTATATTATAACACATTTCAGTTAAGTTTCCTTGTCCGATTTTTGGATCAGACCCTTTATCTGCATTGTCATTGTTACCTTAGTGTTAATACAGGCTTGTACGCGAGGATGATGGTATTATTGTGAAACAGCTGCAAAAGTTTCCTGTTACCTGTAAAGTTTCTTTTTATCTGTTTCATTTGCAATTGCAGCCTGTATGCTTCCTGCTTTCAAGTGCTTTTATAGGATCTGATGATGTTTTTCTCAGAAAGTATTATGTAGAAAATAGTGCATTAATGATCCTTTTACCAAATGGTAGAATTCTACTGGTGCCCTTCTGAAACAGGAAGGCAATTAGAACTGATACTCATTATAGTATTTTCTTTAAAAATCGTAACATCATAATGTAATTAAGCCATGATTGGGATGGATGATCCAATTTTTTTTCTGTGCCTATGCTGCATCCGAAGCTTTAAAATGAAATAGTCCTAGTTTTTTGTATTTTTTCTCTCTTTGTTTGGCTACTAGTAGACAGTTACTTCTCAAAAAAGGAAGAGTTCTATTATTTAGCCATATATTATCACATTTTTCTTATTTATCAAACAATACTTAAATGATATGTATCTTTAAAAATCTTGTTGGCATATACTATTTCGTGGATAATTAAGGTAGATCACTTGTGGAGAGAAAAAGATTACGTGTAAAGAAAAGGGTAAAAAGTATCTCTCGAATTTTTACCTGTGTGAAGTTTTAACCCTCGATCTATCAAAAGTGTAAACTATTGATCCTTTTGTCAATTTCAACCGTTATGACAACAATGCTGTTCAAATATATTTCTCAAGCATGAAGAAAGAATTGCAAGTTAGAAGCAAGCGAAACCATAGCCGAGCTCCGAACTCAGGCATTTTCGATATACAGACAGAAGCACAGCTACAACAATTAACAAAAGCACAAGATAGCAAATTAGTTATGATGACTCCACCACCCAAATTTGGAGAACTCTTTGGGGTCTGAATATCAAGCATAAGATTAAGCTATTCATTTGGAGGTGTATCACTAACACATTAACAGCAAGGGAAACAATATTCAGGAGAACGAAACAGGGCACACCATGCTGCTTGAGATGTGGAGACAAGATAGAAACGGTGGAACACATTCTGTTTCATTGTGCACAGGCTCAGAAGGTATGGAAGCTTGCACCAGTTCAATGGGACGGCATTCAGACTCAAACAGGTTGTTTTAAGCAGTGGTGGGCAGCTTTAACTCAAGCTAGGAGTAGGAAGGAAGGCAAACAGCATTTAGCTTTGACTGCTAACATACTTTGGCAGCTATGGAAGGATAGGAATGAGCTGGAATTTGAAGGGAAAGAGAAGGATGGACTTAAAGTAGTGCAAAAGGCAAGTATTGAGTGGATGGAGTTTGAGGAAGCTGGTACAGGAAAGGAAGATAGGAGTACATCAGAAACAGTTGCAGCACATGCAAGGCAAAGGGAGGAAGGAATGGAGGTAAGGGACTTGGTGGAACTTCACATTGCAACACAGAAAGCAACCGAGGGACACAAGATGGGAATTGGCGTTGTGGCCAAGCTGAATGGAACAAGAATTATAGCTGACTGGGCGCTAGTGGACAGAACTTCGCAACTGGCAATACAAGATGACGCTACAGCAGTGCGATTGGCACTCATCAAAGTAAGGCAGCTTGGTTGGCACAGGATTAAAGTCATAAATGCCAATCAACATCTTATTGCTATGCTGAAGAGTGGGAAAGGAGACAATCCGAACACAGTCACGTTAGTGGAAGATATACTTGCTCTAGCTAATCGGTTTCAAATGTGCTTTTTTGAAATAGGAAAAAATAGTAATATATCTCTATGTCAAAGTATTAGTCGTTATGTTCTAAGCATATTTTTGGATGAAGAGAGAATTTTTGTCTCTTCTTAGTGTCATAGTACACTTTGTATAGGTGGTTGAGTCGTTGCTCAAATATTGTAAAGTTTGGTTTGCTATAAAATTCATCTATAGTTTCCACAAAAAAAAAAAAAAAAAAACAAGATAGCAAATTAGTTTTTCCATTGCCTCAAACCAATTACAAACACTAAATTGTAAATTGGATACTTTTCAGTTTGGCTCAAAGAAATTACAAATCCTAAGTTCTAAATCCTTAGGCGGTGTACCTGGCAAAACCTGAAGCATCATACATGCTCCATCCCGGATTTCATTTGCTAATTAAACTCGACCAATTTCGGAGCAATCCGCAGCAGATAAGACGACTCATGCAATTGGAGATAATGCAATCACGCATGCTCCATCGCCCGTTTCATTCAGCAACTGAGCATCAAGGAGATGGACAAAGTTACAAATGTTCCAAGAGTTTCACACTGCACACATTTTGTATTATGATTTACTCTTGGTTATTTAATTTTTACATATTGTTATTTTGTTTGTATACATTGTTTTTTATTTTGTACATAATGGTTATTATGGTTTACATTTTGTTATTTAGTTTTTACACATTATTAGTTTATTTGTCACATTATTGTTTACTTTAAACGCACCGTATAAGCTCCTTTTGCACACTAATAAATGGTTGTTTAGTTTTTACATATTATTATTTTATCTATACACATTGTTATTTATTTTGTACATGTTAGCATATAAGTTTGTGAATCATTATACAATCTCTTTCAAGTATACAGGTGGATTGAAACCTGTACAATTGGTGCCTCATCTACCTCATTTAGCATTTAGTGTAGGATATTCTACTGTGACCATACTAATGTACAATTCCATCAATGAAGATGTTTGCTTTCAGTGACAATCTCCATGCAGAGCACAAAAAGAACAATACTAATTTGTACAGGTCACGCATATAGGTGGTCAACAGCATTTACTATTGATGTCTGAGCTAGTCTTCAGTACAGAATACTCTGTTGTGACTGTGCCAATGTACATTTTCATTTGAAATGATAGGAAGTAGTATTCAACTGAACACAAGACACTAGGAAACCCCACAAGTTAGATCCTTTGAAGATGTTTGCTTACATGACGAGCAATCTCTTTCAAGTATATACGCATGTACCATCGGTGCCTCATCCACTTCATCTAATCTTCAGTATAGGATATCCTGCTGTGATCATACCAATGTACAATTACATCATCCAAGATATTTGCCTTCATTGACAATTCTCATGTAGAGTATGAAGAGAATGATATTTATGTGTTTAATTTATCAAATTTAGTTTCATAACTACACATAGATTCGGAGAATGTAACCAATTTTATTTGAACTAAATTGGAACTTATTAAGACTAAAATACTTATCATCTTTTTATTCTCCATATAGTCCATGAATTATCCATAATTGACAAATATTAATTTTTTTTGTGTAATTCAATCAATTTCATTTGAATTGGATTAGAACTTATTGAGACTAAAATACTTGTCCTATTTCTATTCTTCATAGTAGTGTATGAATTATCCATAATTGTCCAGTATTAATTTGTTTGTGTAATACAATCGAAATGTGATTACAACATATCCAATAACTTATGAATCTATACTAACAACGACTCCAATTTGTTGAATTACAAAACAATGCCTGTGTATAGGATTATAATGTTCAGGAGATCACTTAAACATATTGTTGAGATTAGAACCAGTTAGATATAACTTACAATCGATTGAATGCAATTTACGCACATATTAACACGGTGTACCAACCCAACCGACATCAGAAAACTGACCAATAATAGTAAAAACATGTTTCAAATTGATTGCTCACTGTTTTAAACTTACTCTATATGATCAGGATTTACAACATGTTTTAAATTGATTACATTTTACACAATTTGTATTACATATAGTTCAATCATTCTACAACACTTATTAGTTTGATGTTCTATGAAATGGTTATCAAACCGTTGTGCTAGGGATAATTTAGGTAGAAAGTCATGTATAAATATGTCATAGAATGCGTGGTACTAGTGTGATAAGTTAATAAGAACATTATTATGAAATTTCGAACAAAAGATAGTTAATGGAATATATCCACTGAACAACTAGAAGTCCCTTATACTTTCAACTTTGCCATAGATTGATTTTGCAACTTTGCCTACTTTAATTTCGTCTCTTTGTTTACTACCTTTTTGGATGCACTTCCTGTCCTACATGCCATCCTATACATGTTTTTACATAGAACCTTGCCTAATCAATAAATACAAAATTATAGAAACTAAAAATAATTTGTAGAGTAGTTAATACAAAGTATTTTCCTAATAATAATAACACATAGAATAAGTACATGTAAAATTTTCTTCCAATTAATCAGTTTTTATTGTATGAGTTACTCCCATTTTCAACCTTTTTAACACAACTAGGCCTGTCAACGGGTCGGGTCTAGACCCGGATCCGGACCGGATCCGTGAAATTATTGCGGGTATGGGTAGAGATTTAATTCCGTTTCCCGGATCCGGATCCGGATCCGTTTTGTCAAACAAAAAACGGGTCGGATACGGAATATAGTATTCCGACCCGTATTAGACCCGGATCCGGATATAAATGAATTAATAATTTAAAATATATATATTTATCAATATAATTTGATTAGGGTGATGTATTTTAATAAAGTTAATTTGATTTCTTTTCTTATTTAGTTTTTTCTTTGCATTAGTTAGAAATTAGTTTACAAATATATTTTTTTCTCATTTTTATTAGAAATTATAAATTTTGGTAAATTTGTTCGGGTAGACCCGGATCCGGATCCGGAACATAGAATAAAAGACCCGTCGGGTAAACGGGTCGGATCCGGATCCGGCATAGTAATTCGGGTCCGGGTCCGGAATAATGAATTCCGGCCCGTTGACAGCCCTAAACACAACCAATAATTGTATGAATCTTACATGTTAATTAACAGTCTAAATACATACTATCTCATTATTTTCTACGCTACCTATAATTGTGACGCCACCGAACTAGTTGTATATTTTATTACCAAACTAGCATGAACTAAAAAATTTACCTAGCACATTTAAATATTAATCTTATGTTTAATTCCCTTTACATTAATGGTCAAAATTTCAAGTGCTAATGATCCCACTTATTTGTGTATTATGGTTTACCATGAGTTATTTAGTTTTTACAAATTATTATTTTATTTGTACACCTTGTTATTTACTTTATAGACATTGATCATTATGATTTACCCTTGATTATTTAATTTTTACATATTGTT